CCGGTGCTCTGGACCAGCAGCTTCTCTTTGCAGTGCTTTGCACTCCCGCTATTCCGACCCGAGTAAGGTGTCCACCAGACCAGGAACCCACAGGAGGGTTTCTGCTCTACTGCTAGAACCACTTTGTCCTGTTGTCCTCTGCCTGCAAGAGGGGAATTGGTATTAAACACAACTGTTGTACCGCAGTGCTTCCCACCTAACGGCAAACATGGATAAAGAGTGCTATTTGCCCTAATTACCGGTGCAATTAAACCCAGTTTTCGATGTTTCTAAATGGCTGCGTTTGTGAAACAGCAGCTACTCAGCTGCACATCCCTGAACACCTCACCCAAACCACGCGCCGGGGCTGCCTGGTTGGGTGCTTTCCACGAAGCCCAGCACGCTCCTCTCCTCCTCCACGCGCCCCGATGCCGCTGGAGCCCGACGGACAGCTCAGGGCCACGGGCTTCCCACCCACGCCTGATGCCCCAAGCACCCGGCAGCCACTCCACAGCACCAGCTCCTCCACCTAAACTGACGAGACAGCTTATGAACATCTAATCCACGGCCAAGTAATTTGCTGTCAGCATCATTCAGAAGTCCGCTGAGAGCTGAGGCAGAACAGTTTCTTAAAGCACTGGAGCCCTTCCATATTCGAAGGGAACAAAGCTTATTTGTGATGGCTCTGACAATACTGGGCACAAAGCTTTTCTCCACATACAAGCCACTGAGTTTAGGACTTGGGACACAGTATGGTCTTACCTCCAAAGAAAAAGCGTGTTACTCGCACACTGGAGACACAGCTAACACAGATATTCAGGTCAAAGCAGTAAGAAGGCACGGCAGTCTGAGCCAAACAGTTCTGAAACAGGAGGACAGGTCTCTCCCTGCAGGACTCTGCCCACCTCGGACTAGCTCTTACTTACATCAATTTCTCCATCATCAATTTCTCCATCATCTTCTTCTTTCTTCTTCTCCTTGAGGGAATCCTGGCCGTCCTTTTCATCGTCACTTTTACTGCTGGATTTTTTCTCATCTTCATGGGCATCATCTCCTTTCTCCTCTTCCTCATCATCCTCACCAGCAGCTTTCTCACCATCCTCCTCTGCAGCAGCAGCACTTGGTTCCTCGGGAACTTCCTCATCATAGTCCAACTCATGCTCATCTAGTTCACGGGTGACAGAGGACGCTTCATCACCAAGGTCATTTGTCCGGTCTTCCTCCTCTCCTTTGCGAGGCGCAGGGCTCTTCAGTTCCCCACCCTGCTCGTTATTGTCAGACTCCCGAGACTTGGTTTCACTTAGGCGGTCCTCTTCATCCGAGTGGTTCTCCTCTTCACCATGACTCAGTCCCCTGGCTGCATCCTCCTCTTCCTCTCCCATGACACTACCTTGCCCACCCTCTCCATCAAGTTCCCGGTCTGAAGCGCTCTCCTTCAGGACTTCGTCATCGGAAAGCTGCTGGTCCTCCTCGTCAGGAGAGCAGGGGTTTCGCTCAGGGCTGTCGGAAACGTCCATCAGTACCCAATAGTCTGCAGAGGGTAGAAAACAACACTCGTTATGGGGAGCAAGCTGGGAAACCAAGAAAGGCTCACCTTGCAGAATTTGTACCATTGTATTTTACCTCCTAGGGAAGAAAATGTTCCTTGAATTCATGAACATGGTTTATCACAGTACTTTCAAAAAGAAAATACGGAGTTTAAATCACAGGAAAAATCGATTCCAATATTGTCCCAGGTTAGATAAGAGTGTGCTACCCCTCACATATAACAACAGAGCTCAAGGCTGCAATTCCTTCTGCAGCTGTACTAGGTGAGGCTGCGCAAACGCTCCCACAGTAGCCCGTATCCCAGGCACGACCAGCCACGGCGTTTCCTCCGTGAACAAGCGAGTGAGCTTCAGCACGCAGGGCCGGGTCTGCAGGTGTGTTCTGTAACTCTCAGCACACCGCACCACGATTGCACAGACTCCCAGAGAGGCACAGGATCACAGCCTACAGTGATTCCAGAAGAACAGCCTACGTATTTACAGCACTCGTTACACGGCATCCAGAATAGATACGACAACAAGGACCACAGGCATTCATGAAAACTCTTGGATTTTTGATCCCATTTAATTTAGGCAGTGCACATATTGGCATCTAATCTCCACTCGCTTTATATAGTAAAGATTCCAAACTCCTTCAAAGCACATCACCTTCATAACTGTCTGCATCATGCACTTTGCTAGCAGCTCAGTATGAACATGTGCTTGGTATGAATAAGTCAAAAATTAGCTGTCTGCTTAGAATAAGCATAATAAATGCAACAGAAAGGGACAAGATGTAAAGCAGGAAAAAACCTCAACCCATACATCTATTTATTTTACTGTAGAAAACAAAAACCCCATGAATTATGGCAGAACTGTCTGACCCAAGGAACCGGCTGAGCTGTCTCTCACTAGGAAGATTACTGGTTCACATCTAGACAAAAGCTCTTGGTGATTAAAAACTCTTACCCTTCAGCTGTGGTCTCTTGCTGCAGCATGTCCTTAGCCCTATAAACGACTGCGACTCCTTCCTTGCCCCCTCAGCCATAACCAACAGCGCTCGGCTGCCTCAGCAAAGCCCAAGCTGAGGAAGGCGTCTTGGCAGGTTTCCCAGCACCGAGGCACCCAAAGCTCAGAGAGGTGAAAGCACCCACCGCAGTTCTCCGGTCGTACCAGTGGAACAGTTCACCAGAAGCATTGGCTCCTCTCAAGGCAGCACCTTTCCAAGCGACTAAATTCACTGTTTCAATAAATGCCTCCTCCTCCAGACCCAAAGGTTTGCACATGAACAAGCTTGGGCAGCCATCAGACAGAAGTGAAAAGCTAAAGAAGACTTTAGCCATGGCTTACGGAAGCACATTTAGGGCTAAAGAAAGGCCATGGGGTTACAAAGCAACAGGATTTCTTCTCCTTCATATCTTTCATGTTTTACTTCTGCTGCTCCCAGCTACAACCTCCCTGCAAGCACATTTACTGCTGGTGCAACAAAACCACGGCATAAACAACCAGATTTTTACCTGTTATTTTCAGGATCCTTGGAGCAGAAATGCCACAAATACAAGACTCTGGTGGCTCCTTTAAACACATTCAGCAATCCTTCGTGAAATAAAAGTTATTAACACTTGGCAGCTCAGCAGTACTGAACCTCTTCCTGACCCAACCTGTCACTTCGCTGTGCTCCCCTGACTGGTTCTGCAGAGTGAAGGTGGTTATCTGCCATCGAAGAGCAGGAACAGACAGACAGAAGGCACACAAGGTCACAGCATTCAGACTGCCACGCGCTGCAAACAGGACCAAAGCAAATCCCAGCCTTCGCAGCACCTGAAACCCAAGACATTTTGGTAATGACAGAACTGGGGACCTTAGTGCTGAAATACAGCAGGAGGAAAAGTGTGGGGACACGCAGGATCTCTTCTGCGTGTTAAGAGCCCGTGCGTGGAACTCAGGAGGGCACTGCAACTTTGTCACTGGTGCTACTTGACTGCTCCTTCATCAACTTTCCAGGACCAGGGCTGTTGTATTTGTGTCTTGTACACTGCCAGATGCACTGTCATCACTGAGATAACGTCTTCACTAGGGTGAAGGCAAGAGATGTTATTAGCTGGTATTTGCAGCGAACTCTCAAGATGAAAGTCACACTCGAGAAAATGCTGCTCGTTCTGCTAGAGGAGGTCTGCAGACATGGAGCTAAGAACACTTCTCAAAAACAAAACAGAGAAAGCACTCCCAGGAGCAGTACAAGTCTTAGGACACAACAACCTCGCTCTACTTCACCTCTTCAAAGCCCTGCACAAATATGAGCAAAATTATAAATACAAGGATGATCTAAACATTCAGCGGGGCCCCAAGCAGCAGAAGAGTCCCACTCTGAGCTTCCTACCAGCTACTCCTTTCTGCGCTCACTTGAAGAAGTTTGCTCCTGCTCACAACCAAAGCTGTGATGTTAGTGAAAAGTTAAAAGCCAAATTAAAAGACAGCAATTGCCTTCTAGTGATAGTGGCTCTGGGCAGTTAAACAGGATGTAATCCGAAACAAATTATATTTTTACTGAGTATATAAAGGTTGATGCTGCGTTCATAAATGCTTCCACAAATCATTACTGGCTTTAAGAGCAAGTTTATGGCAGCAATTTTAGTTGCCTAAGTGCCTGCTAAGTTACACTTTGCGTGCATGAAGAATAACTTAGCGTATTACAGCTGAAAGGTCAGCCTTAAGAGGCCAGGAGAAATATAAAAGCTGTCAAGTGCAGATGTATTCAGGAAATTTGTTTTCTGATTTCTTGCAAATAAGCAGCACCAAATAAAAAGCATTTCAGTGAACTGGACACCTTTCTGCCTTCGACATCGAGACCTTCAGAGGGATGGGGCGAAACAAATACGAACGCAATCCCACCACCAGCTACGGTGATAAGTATAGAACATTCACCTCCTCTGTCAGCTATTATAAAAATCAGCGCATCCGTCAGTTACAATAATTTCCTATTAATTTCCACTGGCAGAAATGATAAGAAACACAATAAGTGACAGCCCAGTTGAGCAGGGTTCACTAAATCCAGGCAGGCCGTTTTAGGTGCGTGTTTCCCTGGATTTGAGTAACAGCCAGTCTGCCCGGCAACGGGCCCGACGCCCGCCCCGGTGCCGCATCTGCGCGGGCAGCGACGCAGCGCACAGAGGCACTCATAGCTCCTCCATCACCTCTTAGGTCAAATTGTTTCGGTGAGAGCCACAGCTCAGCCAGTCTCCAAGGGCTGTTGCTCCAAGATCACCAGCAGGCAAGAAAAGAGAACCCCTAGAACCACTGAACCAGATTTTCGCTCCAATCGTATGTGCAACGGGATGGAAACGCCCCAAAGCAAACCCATGATAGGCAAAGGTAAAATCAGAAGCAGGAAAAAAAACAAACAAGGAAGATGGAAACTGTCAGGCTGACGATGGACCAGGACTAGGTAACCTTTCTGCTGCATTATGGTGAGACGCTGCTCCAGCAGCCACCCGCCAGGCAGGCTGGCCTCTCGCACACCGCCACAGCAACTCCCCCCGCCCTGGGGCAGAGCCCGACCTCCAGCCCCTCCGCAGCCCCACGGCTCGAAGCACAGGAGGGGGGCCAGGGAGGGTGGTGTAGCATCCCAACGACGAGCTTTCGGGCAACAGCAACGTCGCTGAAGCACAGTTTGAGATGGGAGAACGCCTGATCACTGAGCTACTTGGTATTACTGGTAGTCGCTCGTTTGTAGAAAAAAGAAATAATTAAATGCCACAAAAAGCAAGAGTACCACAGTCAGAATTTTGTGAAGTGCTAGAGTACTCGTTATAGTCACTCACACTTCCTTCCAAGCTCCACTGGATTTATTCTTCGCATGGCAGCAAGTTTAACTTCAGTTTAAAATGCACGTCCCAAGCGCTGCCTCAGAACAATCTGCAAATCAGTTTATCCCAAATCTCTGGATTCCTGCAAGGTTTTTTTGAAGTATTTTTTTGGGGGGTGTTGTTTAATTTATTTATTTGAGCTTATTTGTCTTCCATTCTCCTTTACTTACACATGCAGGCAAATATCAGAAAAATCTAAGAAAAGCGACTACCATTCATTTCAAACTGAGCAACACTGACATAAGCGGTAGAGCAGAAATTCACAGGTTTCACCCCTCAGCACAAGCTTGGAATTTCTGTGCCTGAAAACCAAGCCAGTTTTCTACTGTCTTCAAAACCAGTTATAAAAGCAAAAAATTAACTTCTATCCTACAGATAAGACTGTTTGACTTTTAGCTTAGGATGATGGGGCAAGCACCAGGTATATAATAATACTTCTCATTTAGCAGTGTTTTATCTTCAGAAATCTCTTCAAAATTACAGGCAGCTCAGGCAAAACCGACCTTGGCCAAAGCTGCACAACCCCTTCCATTACAAAACTGATTTCGTTTGCTCAAAGTGTGTCAAATCTTCGTTTTCTGCGTGTCTGAAGCAGACCAGTTCAGAAGGGGTCACTGAGCCTTTCAGATGAGGCTTACAGAACCCTCGCTTTGCCACGCTAAGCACGCTGGTACGGCCTCTCCATCGCGGGGCTTTGGAGCCGACGCAATAGTAGGGTGCGCTTTCAGCCACAAGCACGTCTTTCCCTGTCTCTAGAATCACTCACACACGCCTCATCAAGCTGAAAGCCTGTTAAAAGCAGCTCACACATCCTCAGTAAAGAAATCCAGTAACTGGCAGCTAAACTTTCCAGCCATCACCCCTGCAGTAAGCACACGCCATCCTCCCAGGTGCCAGCCGGATGGCACTCGCTGTCCCCACAGATAACACTCGGGTCGAGCAAGACTTGCCCTCCAGCTGCTCCTTTCGGGTCCTCGCTCCCTGCTGGCTTGGAGGCCAGCAGTATTAGAGACACAAAAAGCACAAAGTGAAGAAATCCCCCTAAATGAGAGGCCTGGGGTTTCATCATCTCGTTTCCAGTAGCGGCGCCTTTGCGTGATGCTCAGGCAGAACCCCGCTGCACTC